TCCCTCTAGGGCTGGGGGTGTTAAAGCCTTTGAAGGGTCTTGTGCTATTTAGGATTAGTCAGTTTGAAGAAAGCAAGGATGGTTGATTGGCCCAGAACTGTGGTGTGGCTTGTCCAGCGAGTCCGTCACCACGGGGCCTGCTGGTGGGAAACAGAAGCCTACAAAGCTTTTTTTTGCTTTAAGCTGATGGGTTTTTGTCTCAGATCAGGAGGGTGAGAAAAAAGTTGGCCATCTTGGAAATTCACCACCTTTATTACCTAGCCATGGCTTCTCTCCCTGTCTGTCTGTCCACCAGGGAGTCGGTCTAACTCCTAGTCTCAGCTTGTTGAGGACAGGTGGCCAAATCTGGCTTACTGGGGTTTTCGGGACCTAGGTTCTGACCCTTAACAATTCTGGCACATCAGGAGCTGTGAAAAACAAAGATGCAGTCCCAGCGCCGGCCTATCCCTCTTGTATGACGTCATCACATTCCGCTCCATGCCTCTGACTGTCCTGGCCCCTCTGCCTGGCAGACACATCTCTAAGGTAAGCTGAAAAGTAATTTCCGCAGTAAGCTCCCCTTCCCTGCGCTCCAGTGAGGCTATTGATCACAGGCAGGCGTTGTTCATGAAGCTCCAGGGGCATTGAGAGCTGTCTGGACCATTATGGGAGTCATCAGTGTCTTGCGGTGGGCCCAATGCACTTGAGGCCGTCCATAAAGTGTCATTGTTGAACAAGGGAACTGAAATAAACGCAGCCGCTGCTCAGGACATTTTCATTCTATTCTGTGTCTGCGACATTCTCCCCAGACAGCTACAAGGCTCTGAACCCTCCCCTCCTTCAGCTCTTTGTTGGTGACCTGTTTACATCAGGACCATCCAGCTCCCTGCTCCGTGCTTTTAAGCTAACTTGTCTTCGGAACATTTAAAATACCCTAGAGCTAACTAACAACTTAGTTTCTTTCTATGATTTTTTAGTTAATTTTGATTTAAAAAATAATTTTATCAAAATCCTGTTTTGCCTTAGTTTCTGAGTTCTTTATGCCCTGCTTCCCTGCCGCACTTTCTAGTTTGTCAACATGAGAGAGCTAGAGCCATCTGGGAAGAGGGGACCTCAGTTGAGAAAATGCCCCCATCAGGTTTGCCTGTAGACAAGTCCATCGGGAGACGTCTTAGAGAATGATTAACATGGGACGACCCAGCCCTTTGTGGCTGGTACCACCACTGCACAGGCCATCCAGCACTGTCTAAGAAGGCAGGCGGAACAAGCCATGAGGAACAAGCCAGTAGGCAGTATGGTGTTTGCTTCAGCTCTTGTCTCCAGGTATCTGTCTTAAGTTCCTGTCTTGACCTCCATCACCCATGGTGGACTGTAAGCTAAAACAAACCCTTTCCTCCCCAAATTGCTTTCAGTTGTGGTCTTTCTCACAGCAGCAGGAAGCCAACCGAGACAGGTACCCTGCTAAAGTTTTGCTGCGCTGGCTTACAGGTTGTCTCTTCCACAACAAGCTAGGCGCTGTTTTCTTCATTTTGTTCTTCACTACACCTCCAGCAGGGGCTTGTACGATGTCGCTATTCAGAAAATACTTTGTGAGGGCTAGGGAGGCGGCTCACCAGGTAAAGAGCTTGTCACGCACACCTCCATGAGAGGAGAGCTCAGGGCCTCAGTCTATAAGATGGAAGAAAGACACCTCTGTCAGCCTTGGACCTCCACATACGAGCTCATACTTGTACACACGCAAACAAGGAAACATTCGCTTACACCACACAACACACTTGTGTAAATATGTATATTATGTATCGGGGAAAAGACTCATTTTTACTTATGCATATATGTATGTGCACGTATGATATGAGTGGGTATCCTCAGAAGGCAGTCATGAATTTCCCCGGAGCTGGAGTTACAGTGATTGTGAGCTACCCAAAGTGAATGCTGAGAACCTAACTCTTTCTCCCTGAAGAGCAGTAATCGGTCTTAACCAGCACAGTAAATGGAAGTTTTAATTCGTACCTTCAAGACTCAGGGAGGCTCCTGTTTGAGAAGCCCACGCCCATGCTCTCCAGTTTCTGAGCTATTCTCTCAAGCCTGGTGCTTAAGTCTATATTAAAATGTCTTTGTTAAACCCCATTTCTGCCTCATAAAAAAATTTAAAAGACTTCCTTGGACATTGTAATAATTTGTCCAATTGGTTTACGATCCTAAGCTCATTTAAATTTAAGCTTTTTTAATCATAGGGTAAAGTTGAAACATAGCTTCCTGTGTGTAGCCAAAGTCAAGGTTACTTAGCAGCACACCTGTTATCCTAGGAGTCAACAGGTCCTGGCAGTGGGTGGTAAAAATAGACTCAAATCCTTAAAAGTAGGATTTGATCATAGAGTCGCACCTTGCTAATGCCTAGAGGGCACTTCCGGAACCGTGATCATCGTGTAGCGACCCAGGCCAATCCACGATCTTGGCGGGAGAGCGAGGCTCTTTGGCTCAGTTTCCGGAAACTCTCTCGGGTCCTTCTCCAATAGGGTGGAGACAGAGCTTCCCGCCCCCTCCCGAGAGTGTGGCTTTCCGATTGGCGAGAAGCGTGGGGGGGGGGGGGGGCTGGAGCTCAGACCGAGCCGGCGCAGGCGCACTGGCTTCGCGTGGCGGACGAGCGGGTGGTGCAGGTAGAGTGCTGCTGGGGAGCGTGGCTGGTTTGAGGGTGCGCAGGGAGGGCCCAAGCGAATCTAGGGACGGTTTCTGGGCGCACGCACCCAGGATCTGGTGTCTGCTTTCCCGCCTGCGTCCTGTCCTGGAGTTTGGTGGAGTCACAACCACGGACAGTTGCATAGAGGAGTCCTTGGTCCCTGCACCTCCGCCCAGCTGTATTTGAGGGCAGCACTTCCGCCCTGGTCAGCCTCGCGTGGCCCTTAAGAGTCAGAGTTCCTAGAGCAGCCTCGGGGATGACCTAGCAGTTCGGACGCCTTACTGTTTTGAATCAAGAGAGAGGAAGATGGGTAGGGTCACCTCTCCTGAAGGGCGAGCCAGTTTAGAGCCGGGTGCTGAAATGCCAGTGTCAGTGGTGGCAACTAGGTGGGAATTGGAGGCGAGTTCCTGCCTTCCAGAATGCCCTGTGCCCTTTGCTGTCGCCTTACACAGATAAGACTCCCCCATCTCAGCCTCTGAATTGGGCATCATAATAGCCAAACCTTTATGGCACTACCTATGTACCTGGCACTTGGAAGCGCTCTGTGTACAGCTTTCCTGACTGTTGAGTCGTGTCGTGTGTCCCTGGAAAAGGGAGAGGATAGGGACATCTCACAGGTGGGATCTGCGTGCACTCCCTAGGCAGCAGACGACTCTCCCGACTGCTGCCTGCGGTTTTTTTTTTTTTTTTCCCTTGGTTTTTCGAGACAGGGTTTCTCCTTCCAAGTGCTGGGATTAAAGGCGTGCGCCACCACCGCCCGGCTCTGCCTGCGTTTTGAAAAGTTGGAAGCGGGCTGTTTTAACAGGCTGAGTGAAAGATGACGGTAGCTGGGACAGAGGTGCAGGCTGGTCAGGTGGAGAGCTTTGGTAATAAGGAGCAGATAGATGAGGGCAGGTTTCTGATTTGGCTGGAGGGTGCTTCTGGTGCCTTGCAGGGTGATAACTCAGATCTGCAGGGGCACCGTTGTTGAGAGACTCTGGTTCATCAAGTTCCAAATAGCTGTGTGCTGTGTTCTCCAAAGAAGAGGAGGGTATGCGGGTCTAAAGTTCAGCAGATTCAGATTGCACAGTGAGTAAAGATGCAGATGGACCGGGAATGTGCAGTGAGAAGGGCGGTTAAAACAAGAATGATTTTTTTGTTTGAGCCAGAGTTTCATTATATATCCTCAGATGGCCTGGAACTCTGATGGGCAAACCTGGCTGGCCTTGAACTTGTGGTAATCCCACCTCTGGCTCCCCAATACTGGATGTGCCACAGTGTCTGCCAAAACTGACATAAAGGCAGAGGTTGGGAATAAAAACAAGGGATGGCAAAGCTGCCCTCAGCTGTTGGCTGTGGGATTACAGTGGGTTTCTTCCAGGTTCTGTTGTAGAAGATTATTTTAAGGTGTGTTGCTTTTGTTTATGCTGCATTTGTTTAACTCTGTGAGGCTGTGATTCTTTGCCTGACTAAAACACCTGATGGTCTCATAAAGAGCTTAATGGCCAATAAGGCAGGAGCAAGGATAGGCGGGGCTGGCAGGCAGGAGGATAAGTAGAAGAAATGAGGAAGAGAAGCAAGAGAACAAGGATTGGAGGACAGTAGGGGCCAGTCACCCAGGTAAACAACCCGTCACGGAGTAAGAGTGAAATTAAGATATATAGAAGTAAGAAAAGGAAAAAGCCCAGAGGCAAAAGGTAGACAGGTTAAGAAAAGCTGACTAGAAACAAGCCAAGCTAAGGGCAGGCACTCATAACTAAGAATAACCCTCCATGTGTGATTTATTTGGGAGCTGGGTGGCGTCCTCCCCTCCAAAAGCCAAAGGAGTTTAAAAAAAAAAAAAAGGAACATTTTGGCATTCCAACATGGGGATAGAGTAAAAGAATATATAACTACAGGTTCTTCCCCAGTTTCCTAAAATAGTAGCAATAGTAAACATCCACCGAGCACATAAACTGTTGGAAGAATAAAAATTTCCCCCATCTTTACAAAGTGCCCATGGTGAACATACAAAGGAAATCTGGTGGTTATACTATTTTATGATGAACTTTAGTACACATGAGTAGAGACCGATGTGCAAGGCTGCATACAGGAAGTTCTAGTGGGAAGTTGGCCAAGAACCCAGGCTGCCTTCTCCAGAGCCTGTGCATGTACCACTAGATGTTGTCTCCACGGTAGATTGTTACATCTTCATAATCAGAATAATAGGAATTTTTTTAATAAAAGTCCTTTCTGCATAGCCCTGACTATCCTCGAACTCACTCTGTAGCCCAGGCTGGCCTCTGTCTTCACCTCCCAAGGTTTGAGATTGAAAGTGTATGCCTAAACCTGGCTGAACTTTGTTTGAAGAGAAGTGGTGCTTTGGTCTGCTGGGCTATTGGAAATGGAAGGACCCACGGCTCCCAAGATGAGCTTCTGTCTCAGGCATTAGTTGGAGCCCACGCTGAGAACCCAGTTAACCGTCATCCACACGACTCGTTTTTCTCCAGGTACCAGGGTGTCATGGAAGGGCTGCTGAAAAGATGCAGAACACTGTCTGCCTTGGCTCTCTGCAGCCGCCACCTCTCCAGGTACGTTACCCACAGATGCTACCATTGTGCCCCGGGGAGGCGGCAGCGCTTGGTTTTGTCCCGCATGTTCCAGCCTCAGAACCTCCGGGAAGACCAGGCGCTTCCTCTGGAGGGCAGAGCTAGCGATCTGACCTGTAAGAGCCAGCGGCTGATGCTGCAGGTGGGCCTGATCCTCCCAGCAAGCCCCGGCTGTTACCACCTCATGCCCTACACGGTTCGTGCCATGGAGAAGCTCGTCAGGGTGATAGACCAGGAGATGCAGGCCATTGGGGGGCAGAAAATCAACATGCCGAGCCTCAGCCCCGCTGAGCTGTGGCGAGCCACCAGCCGCTGGGACCTGATGGGCAGGGAGCTGCTGCGACTGAGAGACAGGCACGGCAAAGAATACTGCTTGGGACCAACTCATGAGGAAGCGGTTACAGCCCTGGTCGCCTCCCAGAAGAAACTGTCCTACAAGCAGCTTCCCTTACTGTTGTACCAGGTTACCAGGAAGTTTCGGGATGAGCCGAGACCCCGTTTTGGTCTTCTCCGTGGCCGGGAGTTCTATATGAAGGACATGTACTCCTTTGACTCCTCCTCTGAGGCCGCCCAGGAGACCTATGGCCTGGTGTGCGATGCTTATTGCAGACTGTTTGATAGGCTGGGGTTACGATGGACGAAAGCCAGGGCAGCTGTGGGCAGCATTGGGGGCACATTGTCCCACGAATTCCAGCTGCCAGTGGACATTGGAGAGGACCGGCTTGTGGTCTGTCCCAGCTGCCACTTCTCAGCCAACACAGAGGTACTAGACTTGTCGCAGAAAGTCTGCCCCGACTGCCAGGGTCCACTGACAGAAACCAAAGGCATTGAGGTGGGGCACACGTTCTACCTCGGTACCAAGTACTCCTCCATTTTCAGTGCCCAGTTTACCAATGCCCACGGGGACCCTTCGCTGGCGGAGATGGGGTGCTATGGCTTGGGGGTCACTCGGATCTTGGCTGCTGCCATCGAAGTCCTCTCTACAGAAGACTGCATCCGCTGGCCCAGTCTCCTGGCTCCGTACCAAGTCTGCCTCATCCCCCCTAAGAAGGGCAGTAAGGAGGCAGCAGCCACTGAGATGGTGGAGCGCTTACATGATGACATCATTGAAGCGGTGGCACAGCTCCGAGGGGAGGTCCTTCTGGATGACAGGACCCACCTGACCATCGGAAATCGACTGAAAGACGCCAACAAGCTTGGCTACCCCTATGTGGTCATTGCCGGCAAGAGGGCCCTGGAGGACCCCGCCCACTTCGAAGTTTGGTGCCAGAACACTGGTGAGGTGGTCTTCCTCACCACAGAGGGAGTCCTGGAACTGCTGGCTGGTGTTTGTGTTGTCTAAGTGTCTAACCACACCTGTCCCTGGGCTTGGTGTCCACTGTACGACTGTAGTTCCCTCCACTTCTCTGGCTTCTTGTGGAAGGGAGGCCATGCTAGGGAACCCTGTACTCATTCCTTAGGATGGTTCGTATTTAATCATTGGCTGATCCCCTGGACTGGCCATCTACCATGTGCCATTCATTCAGCACGTAGACACTTCCGTTACACAGGTGAGAAAGAGACCTACGTCACTCCCTTGAAAAGCTGATTTCTGGGTGTAAGACCAGAATGACTGGAAGCTGGGGACCATGCTTCCCCAACCTCATCCCACAGTCTGACACATGCCTTGAACTTCATTCAATCCACAAAGCAGGGCCCTTCTCCACTGAGGAACCAAGAGCTCCAGAGAGTCAGGCACTTGCTGCTAACTCACTGGTAATTTGACTCGCCTGCTTCCTGCTGGGGCCTGGGGTTCCCATTTGAAGATGGGAGATGGAGTTAGGTCTGTAAGGACCACAGAGCTCTCGCTGAGTGACTCCACTAGACATGTAGATCTAGTCCTTTTCCTCTAAGCTTCCCAAGAAGCTTAGTTATCCTAACTGCCTGATGGCCCCACACTAGCTCCAGAGACTTGACATTACTGGGTTCACTTCAGCACTGAGATCATGTTCTGCTGATTGAATAAAGTCAGGCTTTGGGATGAGCTTTTTTGTGTGTTAATTTGAAACAAAAATAGCATGTTGGGGGCTGGAGAGATGGCTCAGAGGTTAAGAGCACTGGCTGCTCTTCCAGAGGTCTTAAGTTCAATTCCCAGCAACCACCAGGTGACTCACAACCATCTGTAGTGAGATCTGATGCCCTCTTCTGGTATGCAGGCATACATGAAAGCAGAATGTTGTACACATAATAAATTAAAAATAGCATCTGTTTCAGCAGTACATACAATAGCATGCCTCCCCGCACTTGCTCGGGTGGGGAGGGTGGCAGGGGGCTGGGAAAATGTGCTTTAAACTGTTTCTCCCAGACTTCAGGAGCAATAGGACCCATCCTTCCACCACACCCCCATACCCCGCTCCCCACCACCATGACCTTGTCCTGGGTTCTGAGTTGAATTCCAGAGTCATAACAGGAGAGACTGGTTGAGAGCTGGTTAGATTCTGTGGGAAAATGGGAGTAGGGGCAGCATTTCACAGCAGGGCCACCTCCACTCATTGCTCCAGCATCCAGCTGAGGAACACAGCTGGGCTTTCCATCCCAGTGTCCCCGTGATCTCCACGTGTGCAGCTCACTAGACCATGGAATAGTGCCATATTCGAAGAGGGTCTTCCCCACCTTGGCTAACACTCTGGAAAGGCTCTCCCAGACACATACAGAGGTGGGCCTCACAAATCTAGGTGATTCTAAATCCAACCAACTTGCCAAGGAAGGTAGATTACAGAAAGGTGTCTGAGCTCCAAAGCAGGTCCTGGGAGCTATTAGGGCTTGGCAGATAGATTGCCCTGGGGAAACTTGACAATGTGCTTGAGGGTTGAGTTACTGCAGGACAGCAGCAGCTGGACAGAAACAGGAAAAGAAATAAGCCAAGCATCCGCAATCCCCTTAGTGCTTCTGGCCAGCCGTCAAGTGGACAGCCACCTCCGGCCACATGCTGTTACGTCCAAGCGCATGGGTCCACGTGAATGAACTGAACCCAATAGTCTGTCTTTGGGTTGTCTCGAGTATTTTGATCAAGTGACATGAGGTGTAATCTTGCCTTTGTAATACTCAGGGTTCTGAGAGCAAGCATAGGTCAGGTTGCCTGGCGGAGGCTCTTAGTTTACTGCACATTGGGGTCCCTTACAGAGCTTCTGGTTCGAGTGGGGCCGTGGCTTAGGACTCTGGTTGCAGTGAGAATCAAGAACTCCTGGAGGAAGAGCGTCTGCCTCTGAACCTGTGTTGTTATCAGTTATTTCTTTGATTTCAGTGGAGCATCAAGCTGATGCCAGCCTCTGTTTTGGGGGTTTTTGTTTGTTTTTTAAAAAATACTTTTTGTGTGTGTGTGTATGAGTGCTCTGTCTTCATGCACACCAGAAGAGGGCATCAGATCCCATTACAGATGGCTGTGAGCCACCATGTGGTTGCTGGGAATTGAATTCAGGACCTCTGGAGGAACAGCCAGTGCTCTTAACTGTTGAACCATTTCTTCAGCCCCCCAGCCCTCTACTTTTGATGGTTTTGTTTGCTGAGGACCTGCCTCGAGCCTCTACGGTGAGCATCTTCATGTGCTGCTTCTAGACCTTAAAATCTTCACAGGTGAGGAACCTGGGGCTCCGTTTAATCAGCTATTGTAAGGATGCGTGGGTACTGAGGATCACACCTGGGATTCAGATGCCAGCCCTCAGCTGTACCTTTCTTACCACATTACTTGACTTCTGCCCAAAAAGTGGTTCCAATAAGCAAACCTGAATCTGTGCTATCTCATTAACCTTGTGAGAAATTAAAATTCATGCACACCGGGGCTGAGATGCAGCGCAGTTGGCTGAGTACTTGCTATCAGGCATGGAGTCCTGGGATTGATCCCCGGCACTGCATAATCCAGGCATTGTGGTACATGTCTGTCATCCCAGCACGTGGAGACAAGAAGGTCATCCTTGGCTTCATAGCAGGCAACCTGGGACCCTTGCCTCAAACAAATGAAAAAAATTACACATGAGTGCTTTAATTTATTCATTTTGGTGCAGGGAGTCAAACCAAGGGCCTTGCACACGTGCCAGACAAGCAGTTTACCACTGAGTTGCAGTCCCATACATCCTCAGGTTCCCCCCCCCCCCCCCCCCCCCCCCCCCCCCCCCCCCCCCCGCTCCCACCCCCCTAGGGTTTCACTGTGCAGCAGGCCAGGCTGGCTTCAAATTCAGTCTTGCCTCAGCTTCCCAAGTGCTGGTATTACAAGAATGTATTCCTAAGCCTAGCTTTATTTATTTATTTTTTTAATTACAGATGTGTGATGTGGGATTCCCCTCTGTATGCTATGAATACCATTGGTTAATAAAGGAACTGTTAGGCCTGTGCAAGGCAGAATATTTTCCCCAAGGTAGGTGGGGAAAATGCTGGGGGAAAGAAGGTGGAGTCAGGGAGAAGCCATGGAGCTGCTGCCAGAAACAGATATTGCCAACCCTTTGCTGGTAAGCCACAGCCACATGGCAATACACAGATTAATGGAGATGGGCTAGTTTAGAATATAAGAGTTAGCCAGAAATACGCTTAAGCTATTGGCCAAACAGTATTACAAATAATATAGTTTCTATGTGGTTATTTCGGGAGTCTGGGCAGCTGGGAAAACAAACAAGTGGCCTCCTACAACAGATGTGTATGCTGTAAACTTAAGGAAAGCTGGCCTAAAGGCACTTTAAAAGCCAGATTCCAAGAATAGAGAGCCGGTAGACTTCATAAACGTGCAAGCTGAATACAATGATGCAGAACTCCAGGAACCCCACATGCAGGGACGGGGAAACTTCTCTAGTACTCGGTTTACAGATGGGAAACAACCTGTGTAGAGGGCCGAATTTGAACTGCATAGAAACTCTGTGCAGGGGTGACTTGAGGTAGCATTCTCACAGGCTTGGCAAGTCAGGAGGAGGCAAACCTCTCCCATCAGTAGAGTGCCTTGCCAATGGTCAGTCCTTGAGAACACAGATGTGCACTGTAGTTCAAAGGCTCTGATTAGGTTGTGGTTTGTCTTCTGCTGAGGTGTTTTTACATATTATATTACAACAAGAGTTTTTCCCATAACACTGAGCTTTCTGTTTAGATTAGCTAGGGCACGAAGCTCTTGAAATTAGTTGCAACCCAGTGACTAGCTAGTCTATGAAACTATTTTCATGTATTATGGGAACCTAGTTTGAATCATGATTTGAGTATTATAAAAAGAGCACTGGCTTTGCAATAAAGTATGCAGTTGTATCTCCTACTCTGCATCCCCTGTGTCCTGATTTCTGTGGCACTATCCAGGGTCATCCATAACCGAGGAGGCTGGGGAAGAGTCCCCAACAAGCCTGGAGTAGGAACAAAGTGTCTCATGCCATGGACCTGGTGAGTAGCAAGTCAGCCACTAAGCTGCCAAAGCCTCATATGCAGCTGCCACTGGTACCCATTCTCTGTCTCACAAGGAGTTAAATGCAGGCACAGTGCCACCTTTGGCCAGCCTTGAGTTTTAGGCATTGGACTCAGGGGACCACTAAGCTAGTGTTCTGGTAGCTGCCAGTGTGATTTGGTGAGATGAGAAGAGGCATAATCCTAGATTTCATTCTTCCTGGGATTATGACCTAAGACAAATTGTCCTTAACACACTCATTCTTGGCAAGGTGCTCAGAGGAATGGTAGCCTCCTCATAGGGCGATATGGGGTTGACAGGGTCACTTGTAACACTTAACCTTTAGTGTGCACTCAAGAAACCCCTTTCTTCCCCAAGGAAGCATTCCCATAACTTAGGAAATCCCCCAGGAGGCCTGGCTCTGTCACTAACGTTATCCTAAGATCTGGATCTTGCTTTTGGGGGTTGGAGCTTTGTATCCATCCCGGGAAGAGTCGAACAAGTGGGGCACACCCACAGAATGTTTCAACTTGGGACATCCAGACAACACACCCTACTCATTTCTCAGCCCAGGGATTTTACCTCTTGCCATAAACTGATGGCTGGGATGTTGGCTGGATAATGCAGGACAGGCAGAACTATCACTGTTCATTCCTTGGGGAGGTGTAGCGGCAACCGGCTGGGAAAGAGCTGAATTACTACTTGGGGACAAAGGCTGGTACATAAACCCATCATGTAAATCAGCCTAGAATGTAAATCAGGGCTCCATTAATATTCTGTGTTCTAATGGAAGAAACACCTGCTGAGCCATCAATAAAGGAACTCTGCAGAAATATGTTGAAATTGCTCCTTTTTTAACTGCTTGGCTGCCAGGCCTCATAAGAGTTCCTGCAGCCCATTTCTGTATTAAGATGCCTGTATGTTTTAGTGGATTGTTTTGCTACAATGGCTTTGTTTTATTGGGAAAAGGATGGGACATAATTTTAAGTGTTATTGCAAACTTAAGTAACATTAAAAACGAACAAGGTACTCCACTTAATATCAAACAATGGTTTATTAGGAAAAGGATGGGACATAATTTTAAGTGTTATTGCAAACTTAAGTAACATTAAAAACGAACAAGGTACTCCACTTAATATCAAACAATGGTTTACATTGTAGTGAGAATCCAGACTGGAGACACTGAAGATACATGATACACTTAATAGTGTATCTATGGCTTCTATGACTGTGAAGGAGACTTCCTCAACTTTTGTGTGGGTAAAATGGAGACAGTGCCTGGGCCTTTGCAGGCACATGGTAAGTAGCGACTGCCCTTACATACATTAGGTGATACTTTGCATGTAAGTTGGGGGCACACACAATGAACCAGCAGAAAGGGTGATGTGTTTATACTTCCTATGTTCAGGCAGAATCCTAGTGAGGGACTGAGTCCCCAGTTGTCAAGCCAGCAGCTTGTCAGGCTGCTAACAAGCTCCCAGGCTTGAGCTTAGTTGCCCTTGGCTAATGCACACTGCAGGGTCAGCAAGGTGCAGGGGGCACACCAGGTAATGGCAACCATGCATCCCATTGGCAAGGGCAGATGCTCCTGCTAGGGCTTTCCTCAGAAACAGGCTGTAAGCCAGGCGTGGTCATGCTTTTTGTGGAAGTAAGGTGTATTTCAAAGACATGAAGAATAGGACAGTGGCTACCAGAGTAAATGGTGCGCTGGGAATGGTGCCAGAGAACAGGGAGGATGGGAAGGATGGCTGACCCTTTAAAGTTCTATAGCACAGGAGGACAACTCTGGTTAACAATGCTTCACTGCCTATTTTAAAACGGCCAATCGAGAGGATTTTCAATGTTTCCATCAAAGTAATGATGTATATGTGACTGTCATTACACAGTACATACATGTACAGAAATGTCATACTACACCAAGAAATTCCAGTTACTATGTGCCAGTTTAAATTTAAAATATTTTAGAAAGTACTACATACCTTAAAACAAGATTATCTAGATGTGCACAGTTTAACCACACAGATCTTAAAAGCATAGGGTTTCCTCTGGCTGGAGTGTCAGATGTAGCAGGGGAAACCAGGCATGAGACACACGTGACAGGCCACAGAGGAGCAGTTAGTCACGGAGACCCAGGAACCAGAGAGAGGCTTCCAGAAGCTAAGGACAGCTCCTGCTGAGGACTGGTGAGGCAAGGGGTGCCTCAGTTCTACCTCGGTGAACTGAATTCTCTCAGCCACCTGAACAGGCCTGAAGCAGATTCTCAGAATCCCCAGGAAGAGCCCAGAAGGCTGACATTTTTATTTCAGCCTTGTAAACCCTGGCGCGGAGATACCAGCTGAGCCAGGGCACATCTCTGGCCACAGAACTGTCTGCTGCTAAAGAAGACAGAATGGAAGAGGACTGGGAGCCCCACTGACGGAGTTCTGTGGCCGCAGGCTCTGGCTGGGGGTTGGGAATGCTGCAGGGCCCAGCGACTGCCAACGCTGTACTGTAAGCATGGAGCGAGCGGTGCAAAGGCCCCTGGGCCCATGGCAAGCCAGGAGGCAGGCCCAGTCTTTACAGTCTTGCTATCTCTGAAGGACTCAAGAGGGTCCCGAGTTCAAGTCCTGTTCTACTTTGCATTGGCTAGTTGACTTTGGAATGGTTGCTTAAGCTGTCCTTGCCATCTTTATACACTGCCTGCTGCCTAGAGGCGTGGGGAGATTCAGGGAGCCGGCCTGGCGCAGGTGCTCAGTAGGTGGTTGTTCTTTCTCTGGAGTCAGGCCAGCAGGTGCTGCCCTGCAGAGGCTCCCTCAAGGGGCCTTGGCTCTGCTAGGACTGTCCACCTTCTTCAACTTTATAAATCTCCACAGGTGCTGGACCTGTTCACAGTGAGCCACCCTTTTCTGGAGGTCACAAGCCCATGGCTGCTTGTGAATCGTTGAGATGCTGAGTGGGTTCAATGCCAGGCCCTGGCAAACAGGCATTGAAGACTACAGGAAAGAAAGTTGCACAGTGGTGAGGCCTCAGCCTTATTGTCACCCTACCTCCTCTGTGGGTCTTCTGCCTCCACCTCCCCACCCTGCCCCCCCTCCCCACATGCATATGCACACACCAAAACAATAACAAAACCAGGCAGGGAAGGTTTGGGTCTCCTGCTGTATTCCCCAGGATGGGTATGGTGGCCAGAGGGGCACCGGATGAGGATCTAGCCCATGTCTTGCTAGGAAGCAGTTCCTTCACAGATCCCCACCACTCTCCTCAGGCTTCATAGAAAGACTGTTTCCAAAAACCATCTTTTTCTTTCTGGTTTAGTGAACATTTCTCCACCTCCATCACCGACAGTTTAGGTTAGATCATTCCTTTTGTGGCACACACCATAGGAAATCAAGAGACAACACCTGGCCTCAGCCTTCTGAATGCCAGCAGCACCCACCATGTTATGATGTCACCTGAATGGTGTCATACAGAATCACCCAATCGTGAATCACTGAGCCTGTCTGTGTATATGACCCAAAGAGCACATTTGACAAGAGCTATTCATTAAGAACATGTCACTCCTGGGCTGAGGCCTCAAATGCACAGGTTGCAAGCAATGCCAAGAGTAAGATAAGCATTTTACAGCTGAAAGGGGCTTCAAGCAGCAGACGGGCCCTGGTGTTAACAATGAGCTCCTGGTGCCTGTTCTGCATGTGGTGGTTTGAACGGGAATGGCCACCTCAGGCTCAGTATTTGAACACTTGGTCCCTAGTTGGAAAATCTGTTTGGGAAGGATTAGGAGGTGTAGCCCTGTTGAAGATGTGTCGCCGGGGGTGGGCTTTGAGGTTTCAAAAGTCCAGCCATTCGGTTACCTCTTTCTGTCTTGTTTCAAGATGTGAGCTCTCAGCTACTGCTCCAGCACCATACCAGCCTGCCTGCCTGCCTGCCTGCCGCCATGATCCCCACCATGGTCTTGGGTTCTAACCCACTGGAACCACGGGCCCCAGTAAACTCTTCTGTAAGTTGGGTTGGATTCCAGAGGGTCAAGGACTAGAGCACAGCAGAGGCTGGCTGACGGGAAGGGCACGGTCTGAGGATAGAAGGCTCCAGAAGAACATCTTCCAGGTGCATTTCATCTATCGCCTCGCCTCAGCCTCATCCGGGTCATATCTCTAAGTAGGCAGTAGGAAGGCGCAGTGGAACGTCATTTGCTCATGACAGCGAGGTCATGGCTATAATGGCTGCTCCTGGGATCCTGCAACGCCTGCTGGTCTGCTGCCAACCATTAGGCCCCTCACACAGACTTCTGAGTTCTTACAAACAAAGTCAGGGACAGTCTAGCTGAGGAGAGAATGTCTAGTGTTTCCAAAACCAGGGGAGAAGAGAGGCTAGATTTGCAGAAACCTGCCCTGGGAAAGAAAGCTGCACTGGTCTCCCTAAATATTCCAGACAATTTCTCTTCCAGAAATAAGGATGCATGTAACACAAGACCCTGAATCAGCCCATCTGAAGGATACCAGCTGGTTTCAGTTTAATGATGGTTTCAGTTTTGCTATGGTAACAAACACCCCCAGATCTCAGGCTTTACTACAAAAAACATTTGCCCTTCACTTTACAATCCATGGCTTTAGGTCAGCTGCTCTGAGCTTTGCTCAGACACCCAGGCTGAAGGTGATGCTCCTATTTGAGAAATGGGGCCTCAGAGTAGAGGGAAAAGAACACAAGCCTGCTTGCCATCCACTGTCCATTGGCTCCTCCAGCTTCTGTCAGATGTGGCATGAGTCACATCTGCTCAGAGCCCTTGCTCCCCTTGGGAGATGGGGCGGGCACTGAGGAAAGCCACTTGGCTTCAGGTAAGAGTACAGAGTCTCTAGAATGAACAGCCCAAGACAAAAACCATCTGTGGCAGACAAAGACTTTCCAGATCAAGAGGTATGAAATCCTAGCAGGCACAGTGGTGCGCACGCTAACCCAGCATTCTTCTGCTGAGCAGGAGCATGACTGGAGCTGAGAAATTGGGAAGCACTCTGACTGCTGTCTGGTCTGCTGCAGTTCTCACACTGGGAGGTCAGGGGAACAGGTAAATTCTGAGACATCCCAAGGATCCCAGTTTGTACAGTCACTGACACACAAACAGGATGTGGCTTCATGGCTCCATTTACCTCATGGCATCCTCAGCATCCTTATAGTTCTCCATTCTGGTGAAAAACTGGACCAGTCTCATCCCTACACCTTAGAATACTATGCAGGGTTGGTTACTGCCTTGGAGTGTCTTCCATGTGTGCCTGATGCCACAGAGGTTAAGGCTGTCGATGTGCCATGAGCCAGTCTACAGGCCAGGGAATCACCAAGGCCAGCTAGTCTGGCAACTGCAGCAGACGTTCCTTCAGAGATGGGCTCCAAGGATGCTCTCTCTGACCAGGGCAGAGCTGTGAATCTGAGGAGGGTGAGGCCCAGCTGGAGCTTGGCACTCAGCCAGACAGGCTGAAGTTCAGGGAGGCCAGCAGCTTCTCCCCAGCATGAGGCTAGGAACCACTGTCCCTGGGGATAGAGAAGTACTAGACTCCAGGCAGAGGAAGCTGAGGAGACCCCACGGTCTGGCTCCCACTTTACCTATGCACCCTTTTCCCCTGAAGGTAACTCTTAAGGAAAGACGAGGATGCTACACAGATGAGGAATGCTGGGGTGAGGGCTTTCACAGAGTACCTGCAGGGAGAGCAAGACAGAGTGGTTAGCTGGGTCACACTCCCCATTAGCCATGAACCTTCCCAACCGTACTCAAGGTGAACCTTTCGATGTACAGAAACATTAAAATACAACTTAGCCCATTGCTTTGTCTGTGGACACCATGACAGTCTCCCCTTAAAACTGAGCCCCAACCCCTAGATGGGCCCTCTGACATCAGGCACACAGGGACAAAACATGGAAGACCACAAAACAAGCTATTAGTTCATTCACTAGCTAGTCTGTGAGTAACGGGTGAGCCAGGTTCCTACTAACTTGAGGTTACAGTCTGTACCCCAACAAGCAAATGGCTCCAGGAATGAACTTGTTACCCCCTGGGAATTCTACAGACGCTGCTGAGAGGCCACAGTGGATACTGCTTGCTGCCATTGCGGATAACAAAGACATCCTCTCCCAGCAGACTGCACCGTGTCTACAGGACAGGGCACTGTGACTCCGGCTTGCTTCCTTACTTGAAAGCTTAGACCCTTCATCCTGCCGGTGAAGGGCAAGCCAGCGAGGCAGAATGCTCAGGGTCACAGACGGAACAGAGGGTCTGCAATGCTCTTTCCATGTAACGGTGCCAGGAGACAAGTGCAATCAGAAAACAGAAGCTACCCCAGCTGCTTTCTGCTGTAAAACCAAGCAGCTTTTCCATTCTGAGACCAGGCCACTCACTTCCCCTGGCCTCGGCTCTCACTGTTCTTCAACCTCGTTGGCCAATGGCCAGGCCAGTCAGTCCCACTGGCTGCCTTCTGTGACTGCTGTGTGTCACTGAGCAGAGGAACTAACCAGACCCTGGGAAGGATCTGCCCATTCCCATGATCCCAAGGAGGTGCTCACCTGGGGTGCTGCAACACCTGCAACAGAGTGCTCCCAGGGGACACCTGGTATAGCTCTGCTCTTTCCTCATCCTCGAAGTAGACCTACGAGATTAACCAGGAAGAGAGTCAGAGACAAATGAGCATAAGCTGCCCTACACATGCCAACACCCAAAAGTTGTTCACTGACCTCCATATGTGCTATGGCAAATCAAACACACAACGTTTTAATAAAAACACTCAATTTCTGTATACACTCTCCCAAAATCCCTCAGAGGAATGAAATAGAACTTTCTTACCTCCAAATTAGCCGGGTGATATTTCTGCTCTGAGTCCCAGCAGGGTGCTTCACTAAACATCGCCATGAGATGGTCAATAAACCTAAGAAGAGAGGAAGATGTGCTTTCTGGGTACCAGTGCTCCACCTACATTCCCATACCAGTCCCTGGACACCTAAGAGAGGAAGATGTGCTTTCTGGGTACCAGTACTCCATCTACATTCCCACACCAGTCCCTGGACTCCTAAGAGAGGAAGATGTGCTTTCTGGATACCAGTGCTCCACCTACATTCCCATACCAGTCCCTGGACACCTAAGAGAGGAAGATGTGCTTTCTGGGCACCAGTGCTCCATCTACATTCCCGCACCAGTCCCTGGACACCACTCCAGAGAGAAAGGTGATGTATAAGGCATGACATTCAGGCTTAACTCACATTGACAACAGTGCCAAAATAGGAAAGTGTACCACTTGTCTAGAACGTATCTCTCTAAGCATTAACTTTCTAAGCATTTCACTTGAAATCACAAGTTAAATGGTGCAATCTGTATCTTTTCTAGTAAACACACACAAGTTATATATATGAACTACCTACCCAGACCTGACAAGGCAAGACCTGTGTGGCCAGCTAGTAAACAGATTCACACTAGAGAAGCCTGTAAAGCTGCTGGGGATAACCTCTAAATTACTCTTTCCTACTCAGCAAAAGCCCGCTTATCTCCGGGCAGTCAGCAGGAGGCGCACACGAGCAGGAGTGAAAAGATGCTGGAGTATGTACCTGGAGTCCTCATGAAAAGCAGAGATGAAGTCGGACTGCGCATACTCTGGATACAGGAACAGCACAGGCCAGCTCAGTCTGCCTTGATTATCTAGGCTCAGCCTGGCTCCGCAAGGGTTCTCAGAGCTGAGCCCATCCAGGAAGATCTCAGTTGGACCATCGGAGGCTGAATCTTCATCCTTACCCACGGCTTCTGAGACAAGCCTGATATTCCTAGCCTGGATCAAGACAGAAAGAAAGGCACAAACTACCTTCTCCTGTAGGAAGATGCAGACACACACCACTGAAATACACCCTAGCCCTATGAGCTTCCCGAGGGCCCGCTCCACATGACCCATCCTAACTGTCCTGGCAGCCTGGCACACAGGAGGCACCACTGTTGAACTTACTTTCACTAGGAATGTGTTGTGTGTTTGGCCCTGCATCAAAAGAGGAGCTGGACATGGTTTCCTACCCTCAGGGCTGTTTCTGGTCTAGTGGGAGCAGCAGCAGAACAGTTACAACAGAAGGTAGGAAGTGGAGCTGAGGAACCGACAGTTCACGTGGGATTCCCCTCTGTATGCTATGAATATGTTTTATTACCACTGGTTATTAAAGAAGCCAATGTTTCGGCCAATGGCTTAGTGTAAAGCCAGGTGGGAAATCCGAACAGAGATGTAGAGAGAAAGTAGATGAAGTCAGGGAGATGCCATGTAGCTGCTGAAGGAGACAAGATGCCACGGAACCTTACTGGTAGGCAACAACCTCGTGGTTATACAGATTGATAGAAATGGGTTAATTTAAGATATAAGAGCTAGCTAGAAAGACGGCTAACCTAGTGGCTGAACAGTGTTGTGTAATTAATGTAGTTTCTGTGTGATTATTCGGGTCTGGGAAGCCGGGATACAAACAAGCAGTCTCTGCCTACAGACAGTAACTGGTGGTATCTGAGCATGCTAAGCCTTAGAGTGTGGCTTTGGAAGGCGGAGAATGAAGGAGCAGCCCAGCCCAAAGACTGGCATGTGCAAAGGTGTAGGACAGGGCAAGCATGCGATGGTACAGCAATGGAACGCTTCCCTTTGGGGAGAGCCTGGGATGCTAGAAATAAAGCTGACTTCATCTGACTGCCTTACTAAAGTGAAGATCCATCAAGAATGGGGCCATCTCTTACGTGTGCCAAGGTTTCTATGGTTAGCACATCCAGGGAATCAAAATTAGTTGTGGTGATATCCCTTAAGGTAGGTGAAAAGTTTCTACTCCCTGATAAGCCTCTCCACCAACACAACAATCTAAATCAGACCAAATCAAACCAAATTAGAAAAAGCCCAGGTTTAATGGATACAATGCTCCTGGATGATTTTCCAGCCCCGCAAAGAGCAGACAGGAAAGGAAGACCAGAAAACTACATGTCTGTTTTCTGGGGGGCAGTTTAAATA